TTTTCAAATAAAAACATTTTGATTTTCTGCACATACCATTTTTTGTTTGCATTTTCCATAATTTCATTAAACTTTCTTCAATTTACTACCAAATATTACGAGAAATTGAAAAGAAACTTAAGTATTTACTTATTTCATTTTATCAAATCGATATTTTAACAGTTAAAAACGATAATTTCAAATTTATTTATGAGAAAAGTTGCAATTAGGAAGTACAATTCCATGAATATACAAAAGATCTTTAATTACTGTTAATTACTGATAACATTCATTTTCTTTGTGTTTGTCTACCAAATCTTCGACAAACAAAGGATTTGCATTGTTCCTTGATCCGTGTGCATCTGATAAGCGTATACTAAATTAAACAACATTTTCTGCGGCTCCGATGGAGTCACCTATACTTTGGCGCAGTTCCTGAAGGAGCAGGCGAGGAATCCTTCTCTTAAGGCCTATGACTTGGTACATTGTTTGGTCGAAGTTAATCCAAGATTCCCATAAAATGTATATACCGAATTTGTATTGAATCTTAAACATTAGACAAAGCAATAAATTGTTTCTATGCAAAAAAATGTTAAGTTTTACTTAAAACCCATTGTTATTTGTTCACATTTATTTTACTTTCTACAATTTAAGAACCCAAATAGAATGGATACAATAGATGCAAACAAATCTAATTCATGTTCGAACAACAAATTGAAATCAATATAAGCTTCATAATCAGGTTGCTCATGGATTATTGTTACTACGGTTGAATGGAATTTGTTAATCTTGCGTTATCAGTATTCACCATGATAACCCTTATGATGTTATTGCCAGGATATTTAGAGATTATTGCTCTTGATGGTTGAAATATTGATACAAAACAGTAAAATATTAAAGGTTACTTAAAATGCTGTTAATTCTTTTAATGGTTGTTTGTTTCTTATTGTTACTATGGTTACAGGTTGAATAAGATTTAACAATCTTGTGTAATTAACAATTACCATGACAACCCCTTTCAGAATGTTTAAAGATTATTTTTATAGCTAGGATGGGATTAGTTGATGATGGTTGAAATTTTGAAAGACAATGGTGAAACTTAAGATGTTATTTATCAAATTGAATTGGATTTTGGAAAATTTTCTGACAAATTAATGTCTTTCGTTGTTTGCTCTTACAAACAATATGCATTGTTCTTGGATTTGCGTTTTGCTTTATAAGTAGATCGAATTGAAATCTAGAGTCACAGTCACGATGATATCCAAGTTAGCTGTAACATTGGCAATTGTTCTAAGTGTGTCCGTCCAGATTGGACGCGGCCAGGGCGTAGCCTGTCCTGCCTTATGGGCTCCTATTTGCGGAAGTGAGGTGTAACCTATCCCAACATGTGTGTCTTCGAGCATAACGCAAAATTCGGTGTCAGAATTATCCATTACGGTACTTGCGAAGAAGGATATCCGATCTGTACCGAAGAATACCATCCGATCTGCGGATCCGACGGTAAAACCTACATCAACTCATGTTATTACCAGTACGCAACATTGTTGGACTCTACTTTAACATTTGTCAAGGTGGGAGAATGCGACGCATTGGCTGTCGGTGAAGTTGTGAGGGTGTCGGGTGAAATAATTTGCGGCTCGGATGGTCGTTATTACTCCTACCACAGTTTCCAAGAAGCGAAACTGAAGAATCCCCATCTTATGAAAGCAAACTTTGATTCGTGTCGCCCTATAATATACACAATTCCTCCACCTATCTACCCACCATACGAATATTCATAATTGAAACGTCTTTGGACCAAACTATGATTTTCGTTTAAAACTTAAATTTCAATTTAAATAACCAAATATTATTGTAAAGGATGTTCTAAATAAAATAAATCTTATTTTCTTGCACAAACTATTTTTTTTTTGTAATTTTAATTCCCATATGTTGATCAAAATTGTTATTATCTAGAGTTAGTTAAAGTTAAGAATATTTTAGATGGATCAAATGCTGATAATTATTATAGTTTGTCTCGATATTTGAAGAAATTTGCTAAAATCTGGAAATTTGATTTGTTTCCATCTTATTGTTTTGGAAAATCTTGGAAGACGTCGCAAACTGAAACGATCCAAGTAATAACCATAGCAACAACAAAAATCTGTTGTCATGGTGAATAATTCTTGAAATAAGACCATAGAATTTTTCCATTTTTACAGCATTTCTACGTAACTTTACCCAATTTGCTATATAATCATTTCAATTATAGCATATTTCTGTAAGTAAACTGTAAATTACTAATGAATAATATTAATAATTATTTATAAATTTGCTTGGAAATAAGCATCACGGCAATCCTTGAAACAAGTTCGAGTAATCCTTTAGAACTTTGCGCTTTCTATGGTTATGATACAATAATTATAATTATACAACAGTCTTTTTTTTTAATATTTTTGAATAGATACGAGAAGTAACAATGGAGAAGCGCTTAAATCCCGAAACAATATGATAATAAATCTACTTTTTTTTTTAGTTAGAATTAGTGTATATAAACGGTTGAAATTCACGCAAATCTGTGCAAATCAAAATGAATTTCATTGCGATCGCTGTTTTATTGGCTTTGGCCGTAGGAAGTTACGCCGATGATGATGATTATTCACTGGTGGTGATTTGCGGTTCGGATGATTTGACGTATTTCGGTGAAGATGAGTTCGAGAGGGCGCGCGAATCGGACAACAGTTTGACAGTCCAATATTACGACATTTGCATCCACGAGGCTATAAACGTCGATCACGTCCTCTGCGGTTCGGATCTTCGTGTGTACTTGAGATCGAATTTCGCCGAGGCTCAATCGAAGAAACCCGGTCTGCAGGAGGTGAATTTCAGGATGTGCAGAGGTCAGTTCGTGACAACGGGACCGGTGCTTCCACCTGATGATCGAAAATAGTAAATATGTTCGATCGATGAAAGAAAAAAAAGAAAAGTTATTATCTTTAAATAAACTGTTGTTGATGTAAGTACAGATAGTTTCTTTTGTTTTCTACAATTCCTCCTGTTTTTATTGGTATTAAGTTGGTATTAATATCATTTTTGTAAAGGTTTTAAATGAGTTTAGGTTTGATTTTCGAGCATTTTCTGAATGGAAAAACCCCAGAATTGATTTGCGTATTCATACAAACACACAAAACAACCAAAATATGCGAATCTTTTCTCGGGAAAAAAAAAACGAAAATGCGAATAATTTGTGCACTTCTTATCGGACTTCACTGATAATAATGCAATTCTTTTGCGCAACAAGTTTTTGGAATTTAAGGAAATTTATGCATAAATGTTAACTAATAATGAGATAAGGTCGTATATAAGTGGACAGTTTCGTTGAGCGAATCCACACTTTTGAGTAAATCACCATGAAGATTCTTCTGGTATTCGCGTTGTTGCTTGTCACGGCTTCGGCTTGTAAATGCCCGAGAATTCTTAAGCCGGTCTGCGGATCGGATGGAAAGAGTTACAACAACGAATGTCTGCTGGACTGCAAAGCCAAAGAGGATGAAGATCTGAAGAAGGTTAGTAATGGTAAATGTCCGTGCAAATGCACCAAAGATTTGAAACCAGTTTGCGGATCTGATGGTAAAACTTACTCCAATAAATGCATGATGGAATGCAATGGTGATGATCTGAAAGTCGTCTCTGAAGGACGTTGCCAACCTATGTGTCCTTGTCCGTTCATCATGAAACCAGTTTGCGGATCTGATGGAAAGAGTTATGATAACGATTGCTTGTTGAACTGCAAAGCCACGAGCGACAAAGATCTGAAGAAGGTGAGCGATGGTAAATGTCCGTGCAAATGCACCAAAGACTTGAAACCAGTTTGCGGATCCGATGGACAAACTTACTCCAATAAATGCATGATGGAATGCAACGGTAAAGATCTTAAAGTCTCATCTGAAGGACCTTGTACACCAGCATGCGCCTGCCCATTGATCCTTCGTCCAGTCTGTGGATCTGATGGAAAGAGTTATGATAATGATTGCTTGTTGAGCTGCAAAGCCAAAAGCGACAAAGATCTGAAGAAGGTGAGCGATGGTAAATGTCCGTGCAAATGCACCAAAGATTTGAAACCAGTTTGTGGATCTGATGGACAAACTTATCCCAACAAATGCATGATGGAATGCAACAGTGCAGATCTTAAAGTCTCCTCTGAAGGACCTTGTACACCAGTATGCGCCTGCCCATTTATCCTTCGTCCAGTCTGCGGATCTGATGGAAAAACCTACGACAACGAATGCATCCTCAAATGCGATCAAAAGAAGAAACCATCGCTGACGAAGGTTTCCGATGGTGAATGCTCTTTCGATATCTGCATATGTCTCTTCATTTCGAAACCGATTTGCGGATCGGATGGAAAAACCTACGATAACGATTGTCTCCTGAGATGTGCGCAAATGAAGAATTCGTCGCTGAAGAAGGTTTCTGATGGTCAATGCAAGTCTAATCTTTGCGCTTGTCCCGACGTACTGAAACCGGTCTGCGGAAGCGATGGAGTTACCTATGCCAACGAATGCGAGTTGAAGTGCAAGAGCAAGGAAGACGAAGATCTGAAGGTAGCTTCTCAAGGAGAGTGTGACAATTGCGTTTGCACCATGCAATATGCTCCAGTTTGCGGTTCAGATGGAGTCACTTATGGTAACAAATGTTCTTTTGATTGTGCAGCGAAGACCAAGAAGATCACGCTTGAATCTGAGAGCGCTTGCTGAAGACATGCGAATTCCAAGAAATGTATACAAAAATATTTCAAATAAATCATGAAAAAATATAAAAGAAATGTTTCATTTACACAATTTCCTCTTGAATATTTGTTTCGATATAAATGAAAATCGTTCAAACCTTAAGATTGAAAATACTTGTAAATTTGTATAAAATTGTAAAGTCAATGGGAAAAGGTGTAAATTTACTTTACAAAAGTTACTTTTTTTTAAATCATGTAAGAAACTAAAGATCTTAGAGCAAGTCTAAGTAATAACACTTTATGATACTCCAAGTATAGAAAATGTATATAAAGATCGTCAAATAACGAAGATAATATGAAAATCGTTCAAACATTTGAAGAAAAGTATAACAATCAATAGTCTTAAGTAATAATCTCTTAACTTTTGTTAAATTCTTAAGATTGAAAATACTTGTAAAATCGTTTACAAGTGTAAAGTCAATGGGAAAAGGTGTAAATTTACTTTACAAAAGTTACTTTTTTACAAAAAATCAAGTAAGAAACTAAAGATCTTAGAGCAAGTAATAACACTTTATGATACTCGAAGTATTCAAAATGTATATAAAGATCATCAAATAACGAAGATAATATGAAAATAGTTCAAACATTTTAAGAAAAGTATTACAATTAATAATCTTAAGTAATAATATCTTAACTTTTGTTAAATTCTTAAGATTGAAAATACTTGTAAAATCGTTTACAAGTATAAAGTCAATGTGTAAATTCACAAACTTTGACAAAAGTCAATGTTTTTCAACAGAATCAAGATTTTAAGATTTTAGAGCAAGTATACAAAATGTATACAATGATCATCAATTAACAAAATTGGTAATGACTTACCTGCATGAATCTGACGACTTTGCAGGCAACGTTTCCCGCATTCCAAGAAACGGTCATCTTCCACACGAGATCGGTGAGGACGTTGATCAAACCGACGGAGAGATCTGAAGAACAGAAACGACGTAAATCGTTGTTGTCTTATTCTCCAACCCAACTCGTAAATTACCTGCAACAGCCAGATGGCTTATGAAGAAGTTCATGCGACTCTTCCTGGATTTGGTGTAGTAAAGGGTCAACAGGACGGCCGCATTTCCCACCACGATGACCACGAGCAGCACCCAGAGGACCGTAAACTGCTCGACCTGAAAAACAAAGAATCAAAGTTAAACTTTTTCATTCCCAAATTGCGAAACGATAACGCTTATTTTTACCATCGCCAAAAACGAATAACGACAGACATATGTGGCACATAATGCATTCCTAACAAGCAAATGTGACTTACGAATTTATCGTTTTGTATTTATAAAGAAAACAAGTATATATACAAGATAATCTGGATATAAAATGTTCTTCATTTCCTCTCGCTGTATTAATAATTTAACGTGCTGTGCTCGTAAATCCGTGCATCTTCCTTCATTCGGAAATAGATACGCTTATGTATATGTATATATATTAATAACTTTACATGTTTCGGGTCATAAATCTCTTGAAATGAGTAGAGTTTATGTTTCCATTAACAAATGTGCGGGCGGAAAAAGAGATGTTTGAAGGCGGAAATATGTAGTTTAAGAAATAAAGAAAGAATAAATAGAGAACATTTCTCATTGATGAATGACTAATTGAGCGAGTGAAAGTGACTAATATGGACAGGATTTATTCATAGATTTAAATTTATTAATCATAAATCTTCACAGTTCATCTACTTCATTTTTGTAACACAAATTACAGCCAAACTGCTGAAACGACAGTAATGTATGAATACTCGCTATAATCCCCAATCATTCAGCTTTCATATGAATCTTTTGGATCCACTCTATCTATTACAGTATCTGAGAAAATCACTGCTTTTTCGAGCGTAAATTTTTCATTTTGTTCAAGTTTTAATGTAACAGACAAATTGATGAAACTACAATCATTTTTGAATACAGGCTACATTCTCCAAACATTCAGCTTTCATATGCACCTTTT